CACACATCTGCCCAAGCCACCTTAGCGTAAGGGCCACCCCACAAAAACTGTCTGCAATGTGAAACAACCTTCTCAATGACTGCCACTGGAACAGGAAATACTTGGATCCAATAGGACTGGATTCCTTGTATAACTGCTCGAATGAGTTCCAACCTGCCAGCATAGCTTATGCTATTTGTTTTCCATTTCAACATAAAGTTAGCTATTCTTAATAAAAGCTTATAAACACCAAGAGTAATCTTCTGGTCAGGAATTTCCTGACCGGAGCGCCGTCCGGCCTCCTCCTTTTGGGGCCTTCCCGGTGGTATTGTTTGCTCAAATTTTTTGTGTATGTTCCTCATCAAGTCGAGTTCATCCATACCAAATTTCAGAAACAAATTCAATCGGGAAGGTCATCAAATGAATTTTGCAAGTTAACTGGTCCGGAAAATACATATTTCGGACCAGTTAACTTGCAAAAATCATTTGACGACCTTCCCGATTGAATTTTTTGCTGAATTTTGGTATGGATGAACTAGACTTGATGAGGAACATACAAAAAAAATTGAGCAAAAAATACCACCGGGAAGGCCCCCAAATGGAGGAGGTCGGACGGGGGTTCCTGTCAGGCAATTCCGTCAAGTTTCATATTTTTGGTGGCCGTTAATTCCTCCGTTAAGCCCATGATGAATCATTAACAAAGTTATTTATCCTCTATTACGAACTTGGAGTATATCGTTCCACTTCTTTACACAATTAATCTTCTTAATTGTCTTCATTTAGCCGTTTGAGGATCACCTGAGTTATTCTATCATAGCCTTTATCGTGTGCTATTTTTAGAGCCCGTTTGGTAGCACGAAAATCGGCTGATTTGGCTGATTCTGCTGAAATTTATAAAGTTCTGGTTGAAGTGGTTGCATTGGCTGATTCTGCTAATTTATGAAAAAATTATTTAAAAAATACTCCCTCCGTCCCGGAAAATTCTTCCAACTTTGAGTTGGATCGCATATTTAGGTAGTGGAATAAAGTAGAATTGTATGGTCGTAGTTGTGTAAGAAAAATGTGAAATGAATGTGAGCCACACAAATAATCAAAAAGGTGAAGTTGGAAGAATTTTCTGGGACGTCCCAAAAAGGAAAGTGGGAAGAATTTTATGGGACGGAGAGAGTATATTTTATTAATTAATAAAATAAAGAAAAAGTTATATGTAAAAACAGCTAAAATGATCATCTACATTAACTTCAGCCAATACAATCAGAAAAGTAACGTCAGCCTTACTTTTTCCTGCTTATCACTTTTAGTAAAAAAGTTAGCTGATAAGCCTGATAAACCGAAAAACAATGTTGCCAAACGGCCGCTTATTCAACCTTAATTGCAATGGAAAGTGAACACATGGGCGGAGAGTTCTAACGGAGAATGGAAATACTGTAAGGTATGTTTTTGTTCACTTTACCAACACCAAAATTAATTCTAGACCTCAAAAACTTTTGAATCTTATCTTTTGCTTTCCTTACTATGTTGTGTTCGAATCGATTGTGCTCTATGTGTTATGCTGGCTGGTCTTAATTTATTTGGCCCGATGTTCATAATAACTGCACATATAGATTGAACTCACTTAAGAGTTTGACTAAGAATCCATTTGGTAACACTAAAATCGGCTAAATCGACTGATTCTATTGAAATTTTTAAAGTTTTGGCTGAAATGACTGGATGAACTGGTTCTGTTGATTAATGAAAAAGTATGTCTAAAATATGTTAATAATAACACAAAGAAAAAATTATATGAAAAAATAGTTAAAATGATCCTCTACAATAACTTCAAACAATGCAGCTAGAAAAATAACTTCAACCCCATTTATACTTCAACGCTACTTATTTTGACTATCACACATTTAACGCGCGAAATTATGTGTTTGGTGAAAAGATAGGTTGATTGATAAGGTTGATAAGCTAAAAAACAAGGTTACCAAACAACCTCTATACCATTTTAGAATTTCATAATTTCCCCCTGAACTTACTATGCTTGTTCATCTTAGGTAAAAGTGACTAAGCTAGAGCCCGTTTAGTAACGCCGAAATCGGCTGATTCTGCTGAAATTTATTAAGTTCTGGTTTCAGTGGCTGTATTGGCTGATTCTGTTGATTTATGAAAAAAATAAATTTAAAATATATTTTATTAATAAGATAAAGAAAAAATTATACGTAAAAATAGTTAAAATGGTCTTCTACAGTAACTTCAGCCTAAACAGCCAGAAAAGTAACTTCAACCTTACTTTTTCTTATTATTACACATTTCAGCGCGTGAAATCAAAAGTTACGTATTTGATGAAAAAGTTGGCTGATAAGGCTGATAAACTGAATAAAGTGTTACCAAACAGGCTCTAAATAATGTGACTATAACATGGTTAACTTAAGGAACTAATGAATCCCCTGTTGGAGGAATGACTCTTAAGAACTACATTTAAAAGTTGGGAATGCACGCTTGTCTAATTAATGAGTTACAGATTTTCATGTCACTATTTATTAGTTTGGTCCTCAAACACTTATTTTACAGCTTTGCTAATTTGCATTTTATATTTTTATTTGTAGAAAAATTGCATGCGCTATTAATGGAACCATGTGATTGGAAAAGGTTCTTATGTTATTGATATGCCAATGGGCGTCAATTTAGTGGCTACCCACTTAGCTTTTTATTTGGTTATGAGGTTATGTCAAATGTTAATATTAGTTTGATATTTTCCATGGACATTGTTGCTATTAGGTGATACAAATAGTTAAAATCCATTGTAGATGCATGCTTTTCTTCTCCAATCCCATGTAAAAGTACAAAATTAACCTTTAATAGAAGACAAGGACTCGATATCACATACTACATAATATATTTTAAATAAAACACGAATGTGCTGCTTTGAATCATAACTCATAAATAAAAACTTCACCTCGTATATATGTGAAATAATAATGGCACAACAATTACCCACAACATTTCACAAGACAAAAAAATGAGCATTTTAAAATTTCCCAAAATTGTAACCTAATCCGTTAAAAACATCTCTCGTCTTTTCTTCTCTAGCCCTGCGTCTCACCTACGCACAGTTTCTTCTCCTCCGCGATCTTCTGCTTCCCCCTCCACTGTGCCACAACAATGGCCGCCACCTCCGCCGCACCGCGCTTCCCATCGAATCGCCGACCTGCAACGCCTCGCCAGCCACTACTTCGCATCACCTTGCCGGCCGCTTGAATCGCCTCGCCGGCCATTCCTCCGCATCACATCGCTGCGGCTCAGTGTTATCTCGCATTGCCTCGCATCAGATTTGGGGATGGCGGCGGATGGGGTTCAATAACGAGTTCTCGGGGCTAAGATGTTGAAGGTGGGCTGGGAAAGGGTGGAACGGGATTGTGTCGCTCGAAGTTGAAGCTAGATCTGGGGGAGTGGGATGGGGCTGGGACAGCGAACAGGGAATCATGGAAGTGGGGCTGGGGAGGGGTTGATCGGGGCTGGAACTAGAGGAGTGGTTTGGGAGTGGGATAGTGGGCGGGGCTCGTGATGCCAGCCGCCGGAGAGGGGCGGCGGCAGGTTACCTACGTTGGTAACCGGAAATGGGTGGAGGTGGGAGGTCAGGTGGAGGTATAAAAGCAGTGGGAACAGGGGACTGGGGAGTTGGGTGGGGGGACATGCTGAGTTTCTGTGTGGGATTGGGGTGTTGGAACAAGCTGAACAGGGGTTGGGACAGCGGCTGAACGGCGGCAGTGCTGGCGGTTGTGATTTCATGGATCGAAAATGATCATAGTGACATGTTTTCCGTTGACATTGAATCAGTGACATTTAAAAGTGACATACGAATTGTGGCGGCGTCACTATGGCGGCATCAATGTGGTCGTGACGGTGTAATTGGTGTGAAAAAATTTGAGGATGACGACTCTTAGTTACAAAAGAAACGAACACAGTGACATAAATTTTTTGCAGTGACATCATGTTTTTTAATTCCACATATATGCCCTTCTTGATCACTTTTTTGCCCCTTTTTAAAGGTGATCACTTTTTTGGTAATTGGTTCAAAGTTAGTAATATTCAAATAAAAACCCGTATATATGTTCATATATGTAACCTTTGAATTTTTGTAAAGTGTTGGATTATAATTTATTTACCCACATTTTTAAAAACTTTGTACGATAGTATTATTTCTATTGCTTTAAAAGCTTCACCTCTTTTTTTTCATAAGAGATTGTTCAAGTGAAAATGATATCACCGTACCCCAGTATCATTAAATTGAAAAGTTGTATCTACTTCCTACCAGGGTCCTATTCTACTAAAATTTAAAGGCTATTATACTCTTGCAGTCCTACATCCTCTTAAACACAAATTTTGGTGCCCAAGTTTAGCTGTCAACTCTTTGATTTTGTGATTTGAATCAAAGATGATAATTAAGTAATTAAGTAATTAACCCATTTTTATAGGAGACATATTAGTAGTTCCCTATCTCAAAAAATTAATAAATAAATGTTCATATTTCATACATACATATAATGAAATCCACCACTACCATTTTAATTCTAAATAAAAAGGAAATCCACTGCTACCATTTTAGTACTAAATAAAAACAGTTTTTCATGAATGTATTGGGCAGCGGGCACTAACTCAATCACGCAACGCGCGACACAAAAACCAGTTTTTCAATAAGAGGGGAGTATTGGGCTACTGACACCCTGCTGGGGGCCAAAGGCACTCCCAGGTATCTCACTGGAAACTGTCCAGTCGGAATGCCCACCAAATTTAGAATCAGCTCCTGCTCCTGTCCATGAACCCCAGCTAAGAAAATATTTGATTTAGCTATATTAATTGATAGCCCAGATATCTCTTGAAAATTAGCCATACACTTTAAATTGATAGTTATATTTGATTTAACTATTTTACATTGTTTTTTTTTTTGAATGAAGGGGGCTTATATTAGAATAAAAGCATTCAGCAAGGATCTAAAATAACAAGAGTACCATCGATAACCATCTGCCCTTGGGCCAGACTCTTAGTTAACCACCTTCAAAAAGCAGTATAACTCGCTGATCCTAAACTGGGCATAACTGAGCCAATAATGGTTACTGCAGCAAACTCATCACCCGAGCCTAATGCAAGAGTCTTACATAAATAACCAAAACAAATAACCAAAACAACAGCCTGACCATCAAAAGAAACAAAACAAGCAATAATAAAATAAGCACCACCGTGGAAACTCTGCACCTGCAGCTTCATGAACACATCAGGCGGGCCTAGGAGCTGGGACCCGCCTCCTCCCCGTTTTTGTGTTGTCCAGTGCCATCTCCTCCCCTGAGTTGTTTTCCTCTGACGGTTCCTTCCAGACTCTCCTACGCTTTTGATCCACCGCGACCTCCCCTGCACCGCTTCTAGTCTCTTCCTTTGTGCCACTGCTATCAGACTCAGCTGTATTTCCCCTACGTTCCTGTCCCATAGTGCCTTCTCCATTATGTTGAGCCCTCTAGTGCTGTCTCGAACCTCCCTGTTTATCCCCCAACCACTTACCGCCCCTCGTGGGGCTAATCTTACCCCCACCACCTGCTCTGAGATCAGCACTAAAATTTTTCTCCAAAACTAGACCCTCCACATATTTTAATGGACAAAACTTCTCAGAGTGCCCCATAATCCCACAAATGAAGCAGAAGCTTGGTAGTTTTTCATATTTAAAATCTACCCAGTGTCCTTCCCCTCCCTTAGTCAAAGTGGAACCCTTTTTTAGGGGTCTTCTGACATCCATCTTTATCCTAACCCTCAAGTAAGAACTCAATTTTCCCTTAAAATGGCTTTCATCAAAAAACTAATAAATTCCCCAATATAGTTACCCACCCTCCTAGCAGTATCTACATTCATAAACTTGTACGGCACATTGTGCACTTGCACCCAGAACTCTGCTTCAAACAAGTCCATTTTATGCGGTATATCATTAGGGCCAACTGCCTTTAGCAGTAACAGATTCCACTCAAATAGCCAAGGACCATCTTCTATAACACGATTCATATCAATTTTATGATTAAAAGTGAAAAGATACCTCTTTTCATCAATTTCTTGAAATGCCATTCCTCTTCCTGGCCTCCAGAGCGATACAAACAGTTCCTGTACTGACTGAGATCTGACTTTCCGGTCGGTGAGGATGACTCCCACCACCGGAAACTCCGCCACCTTTGCCTTTGGAACGGTTGCTTCTTCTTCTTCCTCATCATCAAAATTCAGTGTACTATTTACTTTCTCCAAAGCCAGTCGTCTATACTGCTCTACCACATCCTCCATATATAGTTGAAAAATCCCAAACCACAGCCGCCGATATGCCCCTTCGAGAGAAAAGCTTGCTCGTCCCAAACCCACAGCCACAGCAGTCAAATTTGATGTCTTCGTCTGCACTCTTCCAAAACCTGCCGATAGCAACAAACCAAAGCCACCTTCTCGCCCTTCCTTAGTATCGATACAATTCGAACCAAGGTTGACAGGCGAAGAGGGAAATATCGGGCTACACTAAGGCAACGGCGGAAAACCGCCGAACCCTAGAGAGAAAAAAACGTAAAGTATATTATTTTACATTGTTAATACGGAGTCTTTGCAACCGAGTATTAGTTTGTGATTAAGTTGATTTTACCTTCAAATCATACCATGTTAGATTACATTTAAGACGAGGGCTGTTCCTGTACATATGATGTACATGAAGCTTCGTACGGACAAAGCCATCAGAGGCCCTTCCTGATGGAATTTTTTGATGAAATTTTTAGAGCATGTTCTTCATCAAGTCTAGTTTATCCATACCAAATTTCAACTCAAAATTCGATTGGGAAGACAGTCAAATAAATTCTTGAAATATACTGCACATTATATGTGCGCAAGATGCACCATATATTTCAAGAATTTATTTGACTGTCTTCCCGATTGAATTTTGAGCTAAACTTTGGTATGGATAAACTATACTTGATGAAGAACATGCTCAAAAAACTGCATAAAAAAAACTCCACACGGAAGAGCCTCTAATGCCTTTGTTCGTACAGAACCCTACTGTGCATCCATATCTCTAATGCTAGTTTTTAAATAGAATGATTTTAGATTCAAATTACATCATTTTAGATTAGATTTAAGAATATCTCTAATGCAATAATATGCTCGATATTCAAAGTATGAGAGTAATACGTTTCTCTTTCTTTCTTTCTTTCTTTCTTTCTTTCTTTCTTTCTTTCTTTCTTTCTTTCTTTCTTTCTTTCTTTCTTTCTTTCTTTCTTTCTTTCTTTCTTTCTTTCTTTCTTTCTTTCTTTCTTTCTTTCTTTCTTTCTTTCTTTCTTTCTTTCTTTCTTTCTTTCTTTCTTTCTTTCTTTCTTTCTTTCTTTCTTTCTTTCAAGATCAGTTTGGTATGTTTGAAGGCATAGAGGTAGATAATTAAAATGTGTCTATTTTTTTTAAAAAAATTGTAGAAGTCTTTTTTTCTCTAAACTAACATTTTATAATAATAATATTTCAATGCTATAACGTGAATGATGCACATGTGACATGAGAGTAATGATGCACATGTGACATGAGAGTAACATAAATATTATAAAACAAAACATTTATCTCCTTATTTAAACGGTCTTATATGTTTTTAGTAAGTTTTCCTCCATATTATCAGGAAATGTCTACATATTGACATTGTGATTGATATTTTTCAGAAAACGTTACCAAAATTATATCAAATCGTGAAAAGGAAACATGGGCGGCCCTAGGGAGCAGGGGGCGGGAGCCCTAGGCCTATAAAAAAATGAAAAAATAGGCTAAAGTTTAGTTCTTTAAAATAGGTGTTAGTAAGCCCATTTTTCAGCCCTAAACTAATGGAGTAATTGTTTGGGTGTAATTTTTTTAGGCACTTTAAATAGCATTGATTAATAATAATAATAATAATATTTCAAGGCATTTATAATAACTCTCTTTCGTCTAAACCAATAATATTATATTATTGGTGGTCCTTATTTAGGAAGGAAAGATTGATGTTCTTATTTGTTCACTTTATCAATGTTTTAGTCCTGTTTAAGGAATTAACTTTATTATTATTATTTTCTAAATTCCTCTCTCCAATGATGTGATCATTCTAAATCATTCCATTTTCGGTAATTAAATCATTCTTCTCTGAGTTATCATCTTTAGGGTGGACATTCAGAATTTGACTTAGGATGTTTTTACTTGGACTGTAATTCATCCCAGACTAGACCAGACCAGACCAGACTTGGATAATTATAAAAATACAAAGAAACCAGGCCAGATCAGACCAGACCAGAGCAGCAAATTACAGTCCAAGTAAAAACATCCTTATTCACACAACAAACTTTATCCGTTGAACATTTTTTACTTAGCGCCACTTTCTCTAATCTTCGGCTCTCTTTTCCTTTATCCGGTCCAGACTCAAATTGATTAAATTTAATTATAATTAAAAAATTTGTATATCAAAATCAACAAATTATAGCCCTATCACTCAATAGATAACAATCAACAATTGAGAAATATATCAAACTAATATTAACAATCAACAATCAATTATGAATAAAATCAACTAATATACTAATCAAATATCATATCAGACTAATCAGCTTCTAAGTGAATTTTTTATGAAATATTGTGAGCATGTTTTTTTTTATCAAGTTTAGATTATGTCCCCAAAGTTTTAGCTTAAATTTAATCGGGAGGCTCAATTAATAAATTATTGAAAAATATTATGCCAAAAAGCAAAGAAATGTAGTGTCTTTCAATATTCTATTTAACTGACTTCTAGATTCAATTTTGAATTGTAATTTTATGGACATAATCTACAATTCATAGAGAATATGCTCATAAATTTTCATCAAAAAATCCGCTTAGAAGTGCCTAAAAAATTTCCACCCAAACAATTAATCCATTAGTTTAGGTCTGAAAAATGGGCTTACTAACACCTATTTTAACGAACTAAACTTTAGCCTATTTTTTTCATTTTTTATAGGCCTAGGGCTTCCGCCCCCTGCTCCCTAGATCCGCCCATGTTTCCTTCTCACGATTTTATATAATTTTGGTAACTTTTTCTGAAAAATATCAATCACAATGTCAATATTTAGACATTTCCTGATAATATGGAGGAAAACTTACTAAAAACATATAAGACCGTTTAAATAAGGAGATAAATGTTTGGTTTTATAATATTTATGTTACTCTCATGTCACATGTGCATCATTCACGTTATAGCATTGTGGATGCTCTAAACAGACCAGACATTACTATATTAGACTTTAACGATTTTAAAATACATATAGAACGAACATCTATAAGACCAAACCAACACGAATCAGACCAAACCAGAATATTATCGATCAATTGAAAACATTCTTAGAGGCTTAGACTCTACTTTGGGATATAAAAACTAGACCAGAAAATACCAAAACATTTTTATGGAACAAGGTATTATTTGTGGTGTGATGTGAGTTTTCTCACATTTAAAAATGTAGTAATATAGTGGTGAAAGTACGAGTATCGTCTCCACGGGAACGGACAAAAGGAAAATAAGAATTAACTAAATTCAGCGATGAAAAAGAAAAAATTAAAAGCAATTGTGCGAGATTTGACTGATTGGAAAATAAAATGCGAATTAAACAAATAAAAAGCTTAGTTTCTTCTTAATTAATGACGAAGGGAACAAAGATTGATTCGGGGGTAACCAGATTTCTGGCAGACTAGGCTTAATTACATGAAATTAATTTAATTGAGCCTAGCTAATCATTACTAAGTTCTAACTCCTCTCGCGGCGTAGAGTACAGTAATTTAAGGGACCAGACCGATCTCTTATTCAACAGGATCCTAAATTATTGCCAAGACGAGTGAGCTTATGGCCCCTTAATCGCTACTAATCTCTTAGCGAGCGATTAAGTGCGTGTGAATGTGTCCTAGAATAAACTAGATCTCTCTCAATTTATTCTACAAGCAATTGTAATTCTAGCCGCGGTTCTAGGTTACAAGAGATATCAATTAAATTATTCAAACAAAAATTAAACGACATTCATGCAATTAATCCATCAAGAAACTAGCCATACATCACGAATAACCCCTTCATCAATCCCAAATCCCTAATTAAACTACTCACAACTCATAATTGACGAATCAACACAATTGAGATGAATAGAAATAATTGTCATTAATTAAAAAGATGGAACTTACAAATAATCCCAGAGTTTTGAACAAAATAACACAAACAACGCATGAACTCGTCCCTAGGTCTCTCTCTAAATTCTGTAACCCCAAAACGGGGAAATAGAGGCCTTATTTATAGAAAATGGGGGAATTCAGGTCGAATTGGGAGTGCGGGGGCCCACGCACGGTGTGCATGCGTCCGAATCAATTGCGCGTAATTATTTTCCACGCACGGCGTGCGTCCCCACACACGGTCCTGCGTGGTTGCCAGTAGGTACTTCGATTTTCAACTCGGATGCACGACCGTGCTCCTTCCACGCACGGCCGTGCGTCCCACCACGAATGGCGTGCGTCAAACTTCCGAATTTGACTTTGCTTCCTGCATGAAAGTTGTAGATATTGAAGTCTCTATCCACCACAACTTGTAAAACTGGATTTGAATCATCCAATTAAAAGATATGAATAAATTGGTGGAAGGTTGCATCCTGAAATATCAACATGGATCATCTGACTTCTTCGTCTGTTTTCACCTTCCTTCTCTCAGATTCTCGCAATGGTGCTTCATATGATTTGTAACTCTTGAAGTTGGATTTCATATGAAACTTGAATCGTGTCCTTTGAATGTTGCCACAAAGAGATATGCATGAAAGACTGACAGAACGTCATCCCGATCGCCGTTTTCAAGCTCTATTCATTTTCTTTTGATCTCGTAGCCAATTCTACAACTCTTTTGTCATCAAATCTTCATCAAAACCTCCCGGTGACCTCCAAATTAAAGCTCCCAATTCACTCTCGAATGCTTCTCAACGCGTCCCGAGTGCTTCTCAAATGCCGGTGCCGGATTCAAATTCCCTGTTTTTAACTCCAACAATACAAAACTCGAGCAACGCCCGATAAACATAACTTGAGCTAAATTGAGACTTGTGACACCTTAAAGTTAGGGAAACCATCAAAAGCCGATCCCAACACGCATCGCATTAAATTTATTTATAAAAGGATTAAAAGTAAGTTAATCAGCCAAGATACATGAGCAAGAGCCGACCCTACGAGTTCGGAAACTCTAGATAGCAAGCCCCCACGCGAATCTAATCTCCCGGCTTTCTCCTCTCCAATTTACAAAAGTCTTCGATAATGCTGACGTTCTTAATAATTTATCTTAATTAGGAACTCTGTTCTAAAAATCGTTCTAGGCGCCCGACTAGTCCCCGCCTAGGTGCTAGGCGGTGGCCGGGCGCCCCGATTTTCATCTAGGCGCTCCGACTAATTGGTTTTCCGTCTAGGTGAATTAGTCGTCCGCCTATGGCGCCTAGTTGCGCGCCTAGAGCGCCTAATAGGCTGCCTAGGCCGTCTAGATTCACTGAACTACTTTACTTTTTAATTTTAATTTTTCAAATGATTAATGTACTTTAACTTTAGTCATGTATATAAAGAAATGAAGATGTAAATTAAAATAAAATTATATATGTTTGTATATATACCTAAATTTTATCATTATTTATATCTATAACATAATGAAGTTAAATGATTAGTTATCATATACTCCGTACTACGTATGATTAAATGTGATAAGTCTATCTTTCGTGTTTGTTAATATATAGGTATATATGTATTTTATACACACAAAAATACAATATTACTTATCATATTTATGCAAAAATATAGATAAAAATACAAATTTTATGTCTCCGGCTAGTCCCCGATTAGGCGCCCGCCTAGCCGCCTAGGCGCTAGGCGCTGGGCTGGCGCCTGACTAGCGCCTAACGCCTTTTAGAACATTGATTAGGAATATTTGTGTATTTTGGCAACTGCTATTTTATTATAAATATACCTGCCAGAGCTCATATTGGAGTACTGTTTTCTCATAATTCTCAGATGGTACTAATTCTCTCCCTCTCTCTCTAAATTTTTTTCCGTCCACCTCATG